GGGTCCGGGCTGGGGATTCGAACCCGCCACCTTAGGTGTACGTGGCTGGCGCCTTAGCCGGTTGAGCTATAGGCGCCGAGCCAAAATAAAATATATTTTAATATAACTCAACATCTATAGGAAATGTGGAATTTGTCATTCAACAGTAATTTTCTACCATTACTATTTTCAATAAAAGGAAAGTAAATAGAGCTTACTGTTTATATTCCCCACTTTTCAAAACTTAAAATAATGTTAATACATGCCTACATGGAAAATAAATGTAAACTTAAAAACTGATGAATCCTGCCTCTTTCAATATTTATATTTCTTTTTCTTTTGAGACAGAGTCTCAAGCTGTTGCCCTGGGTAGAATGCCGTGACATCATAGCTCATAGCAACCTCCAACTCCTGGGCTTAAGCAATTCTCTTGCTTCAGCCTCCCAAGTAGCTGGGACCACAGTGCCCAGCTTTTTGGTTGTAGTTGTCATTGTTGTTTGGCAGACCCGAGCTGGATTCGAACCTGCCAGCTCTGGTGTATGTGGCTGGTGCCTTGGCCACTTGAGCCACAGGTGCCAAGCCAATTTTTGTATTTCTTTCTTACAAGACTGCTTCAGGAAATTCATCACTAATCATGTACAAGTTCAGTTTAAAAATGTAAGTAAAAAGATGTTTAGGTAGCTCAAGTTCAACCAAGAGGAATTGTGGTCACTGTTAACATTCCTGAATGATAACATTCCTAAGTTTCTGATGAAACTTAGGTTTCATCACAAAATTCCAGTGTAGGCCAGGTGAGGTGGCTCACACCTGCATTCCTAACACTCTGGGAGGTTAAGGCAGGTGAACTGCCTGAGCTCACAGATTGGAGACCAGCCTGAGCCAGAGCTAGACCTAGTCTCTAAAAATAGCTGGGCACTGTGGTGGGCACCTATAGTCCCAGCTACTTAGGAGGCTCAGGCAAGAGAATCACTTAAGCCCAAGAGTTTGAGGTTGCTGTGATCTGTTGACACCATGGCACTCTACCAAGGGCTACAAAGTGAGATTCTGTCTCAACAAAACAAACCACCCCCCCCTCCAAATTCCAGTACAATAATTAGTGTTACAATTAATAAAGTTTGGGAAGAAATAGGTAAAACATCTTTGTTCACAGATGGTTAAGATTGTCTTTTTTTTTTTTTTTTTTTT